ATGGTTCCTGAGCCAAAGCATGGTTAATCTAAGATGTAATATTTTCTTTATGAGTCCCGAACTTTCCCTACTTTACCCTGCCTTACTTTGGCTAGCCTCTTTTTCCCTACTTTACCCTGCCTTACTTTGGCTAGCCTCTTTTTCCCTACTTTACCCTGCCTTACTTTGGCTAGCCTCTTTCTCTGTCCCTTGCCTTAGGCACTGTGAGTAGTGTGTGTCATTAAATGCTTTTATGGAAGCTGCCTATAAAATCACCCCAGCCTGAGTGGGTAAACAAAGGTCAGTTTCTTTGCCAGTCCTTCTGGTAACTGACAGAATGGTCAGCATGCACAACCACGGTATTTTGACAAGGCCTGTAATGCAACCACCCAAACACCCATTTTCTCTCCGCTAAGAAGCCCAGTAAGAATATGGACTGCTATCCCCATGGTGGGGAATAGGAGATAGTAGGCAAAGACACCATAATCTTTTCTCTCTTACTGAATTTTTAGCAGCCTCTTTCTTTTATTAGATTCTAGAATACCAAAAAGTTGATTCCAAAAGGTTTTGCCAACTTACTGTTTTTGCTTTCTGTGACGTCTTCTTTTTTGAATTTTTAACCTCTCCTCTTTGAGTACACTGAGACACATTCAAGTTTGCTCAATATCTACCCTAAACACCATACCTGTACTTCCACTGCTGACTAAGAACTGTTCCATGTGGGCAGCCATTGGTGGGAGCCTAGGTAAAGATCTGGGATTTTGGGCACCACTGCCATCCCAGTGGTGGGAAAAGAAGGCTAGGCAGGCAGAGAGTAGCACAGTAGAGAAAGAGACTTTTAATGTAACCAGAAAGGACTTTATTAAAAGAAGTGAGAGGTAGGCAGGCAGGTAAGGACTGACTGCCCCAAGCTCCCACTGTCTGGGTTGTTTTTGGGCAGTGGGGAGGAGAAATCGGTGGGGAGAACTTTAGGTCCACGTTTAGCTCCTTGTAAACAGTCCAGAGCATGCACACCTGTTGCCAAGGTGTGGGAAGACACACCGGCACAAAGGCAATGGAGGCCAGGCACTTGTGTGATTGGTCCTTTTTGCCCTTCTTGTAGGGAGCCACTTGTAGCAGTCACCTATGACTCTGCACAATGAGTTAGGTATGTGCTTTGTAAGAGCTTGGCCCTGAAGTGAAGAGGTGGGCACGGAATGTTCCTTACCTTTGAAATGTCCAAGGTGTAGGGCGGGGTGGGTGTAGGCCAGTCCTCTCTTCCCCTCATGCCTGGTTATCTGCCAGCTCTAGCAAAACTACTTGAAATACTTGTCTGCACGGAGCTTGACCTCTTCACATCCGTGCCTTTACTCATGGAATGTGACTTCTGCCCCCAGAGCACCACTCAGGGATTGCCGCAATGTCTCATCTCTGAGCACATCCCACATCACCCAGTACTTCCTCCTGCCATGGCATTTTGATCTCCTAATTTTTCTTTTTGTGGATGGGGGTTTGAACTCAGGGCCTATACCTTGAGCTACTTCACCAGCCCTTTTTTTGTGAAGGGTTTTTTCAAGGTAGGGTCTCACAAACTATTTGCTTTGGGCTGGTTTTGAACCCCGATTCTCCTGATCTCTGCCTCCTGAGTAGCTAGGATTACAGGTGTGAGCCGCCGGCGCCCAGCTCTTCTGATTTTCTTACCACCTTTGGCTTTTCCTCAGTTTTCTAAGAACTCCTGTTTCATCCTGTCTTTTTTATTTCCTTTCTGATGGCTGGTTAGATCTTACTCCTCAGTGCTCTGTCCTGGTGCTTCTTTTCCTCTTCATGCATTCTTAGGGCTAATCTCATCTAATCCCATGCTTGAATTATCATGGAGGCAAATAACTAAGATCTCTGTGCTAGAGAGGGCTCAGTCCTATCTTCTAGAACCTTAAACCCATAGTCTGCTGCGTACTTACTTACACTTAGTGACTCGATGGACACCTCAATTTAGCTAGCACCAACTAATAAAATTTAACTCCCCCATCCTTTTTTCCCTCCCATTTCCTGATTCATAATGAAGGAAAAATACAACTGAGAACTGGAGGTGTGGCTCAGGCAGTAGAGCACCTGCTTTACAAATGTGAAGCCCTGAGTTCAAACCCCAGTCTCACAAAAAAAAAAAAAAAAAAAAATACAGTTGAGAAGGATTTCAGAGTTCTCCCAAATTATTTATTTTGGATATAATCCTTGTACTGTCTGTCTTTATTTCATCTTCAGTAGTGCTAGGGTTTGAACTGAGGAATTCAGCATCTGCTTAAGCAGGCACTCTTATTACTTGAGCCCCAACTCCAGTCTGTCTACTTTTAAACAGTATGCATAATATCAACACAAATTCATTTGTAGGTTTGCTAATTAATATGGATTATAAGAGTCTCCCAGATATCTGGAAGAAAATGTTCACTCTTGCTTATCAAAGGATTTGAAATGAAAATGAGGCATGGTTGGACTGGGAATGTGCGCTCAGTGGTAAAGTGTTTGCCTACAATGCACAGTGCCCCAGGCTTTTAAAGATGAGGTCTAATGAGGATCTTCATCCATTAAAAAAGTAAATATTGTCACTCTTGTTCTTTCATTAAAGGTGACATGTTTTTAGTCTTTTGAAAGTGTATTCCTGCCAGACACCAAGGGCTCACACCTGTAATCCTAATTACTCAGGAGGTAGAGATCAGGAGGATCTCGCTTCAAAGCCAGCCCAGGCAAATAGTTCAGGAAACCCTATCTCACAAACAGTCAACAAGTTGGGCACCAGTGGCTCACACCTGTAATCATAGCTACTCAGGAGGCAGAGATCAGGAGGATCACAGCTTGAGGCCAGTCCGGGCAAATGGTTTGCAAGACCCTATTTCAAAAAAATCCTTCACAAAAAAGGCTGGAGGAGTTGTGTCAAGGTGAAGGCCCTGAGTTCAAGCCCCAGTACCACAAAAAAAAAAAGGAAAATAGCCAACACGAAAATGGGCTGGTAGAGTGGCTCAAGTGGTAAAGTATACTTCTTTCCTAAATAAACTTTGCTATCACTTTCACTAAAAAAAGTGAATATTTTTAAATGCCCTATGTTGATGAATTTACAGAAAAGTTGAGCTTTCTTAAGCTAAATTTTAATTGATTAAGCTTTTCTGGGGAGCCATTTGGCAGTATGCATCCAAGATGCTTAAAATATTTATGCCTTTTGATTCAGCAATTCTGTCTAGAAATTTATCCGAAGAAGTTACTAGAGCCAGGCGTTTGTGGCTCAGGCCTGTAATCCTAGACTTGGAAGGGAGAGATCAGGAGGATCGCAGTTCAAAACCAGCCCAGGCAAACAGTTCATGAGACCCTAGCTCAAAAAAACCCAACATGAAAAAAGACTGGTGGTGTAGCTCAGATGATAGACCGCCTGCCTAGCAGGCATGAGACCCTGAGTTCAAACCCTAGTACTGCCAAAAATAAATAAATTAAAAATAAAAGAAGTTACTAGAGATATGCATTAGTATTTACAGTATTTTTATAGCACTAAAAAATCACAAGCCATATGAATGTTAGAAAAATTATATAAATTTTGATACATTTATGATATATTATGTAATGAAAAAATAGGCTTTGAAAAAATATTTATGTACATGGTGGTACACACCTCTAATCCCAGCACTCAGAAAAGCTGAAGCAGGAAGATAGCAAGTTTGAGGCCAGTTTGGGCTACACAGTGATACCATTTCAAAAAGCAAACAAACAATAAAAGCAGCTAGGCTTGGTGGCTCGTCCCTGTAATCCTAGTTACTTGGGAGGCAGAGATCTGGAGGATCTTGGTTCAAGGTCAGTCTAGGCAAAAAGTTCCTGAGACCCATTTCAACCAAGAAAAAGCAGAAGCATAAATAGGAGAATCTTGGTTCAGTCTAGCTCCAGCATAAACTTAAGACACTATTTTAAAAAATACCTAAAGCAAAAAGGGTTGAGGGAGTGGCTGAAGTGGTAGAGCCCTGCCTAGCAAGCATGAGACCTTGAGTTCAAACCCCAGTGCCACAAAAAAAAAAAAAAAAAAAGGAAAACAGTTACATACAGTGTGTGATCTGATGTACTGATTTGTGAATAAATGAATATATGCATGGGAGAGGTATTAGAAGGAGACATTACATAAACAAGTTTATTAGTTAAAAATGTGTAAGTTAATTTTCCTTTTTCATTATGCTTTTTATTTTTTATAACAAGTATCATTTTTATTAAAAAACAAACAAGAAGGGCTGGGGGCATGGTTCAAGTGATAGAGCCACCCCTGAGTTCAAACCCCAGTACCAAAAAAAAAAAAAAGCAAGCAAGATATATGAAAAATGTCGTTAGGCACTTCCAGAATTTATTTTGTTTCCAGATTTTATATACATAAAGTTCATTACCTTTCATGACACTAATAATGAAATTCTTTTCCCTTTTCTACTCCCAATGCAAATTTTGATACTTTTTGTTTATAGCTCCAGAATCTTTAACATATAAAATTTTGTTGAATTACCAAAAATGGAGGGTCAGTTTGAGTTAAAGAAAACAAGGTAAGCCAGGCATGGTGGCACACCTGTGGAATCCCAGCACTTGGGAGGCTGAGGGAGGAGGATGGTGAGTTCGAGACCAGCCTGAGTACATAGCAAGACCCTGTGTAAAAAAAGAACAAGAAACAAAGTATATACAGGGAAAAGCATAAGGTCTGGCAGTTCATTTCATCTCAGCAAGCCTCGATTTCCTCATCGTTTAGCAGGGGATACACTAGGAAGGTGTAGGAGGTAACATGTAATGTTCAAAACATGACTTCTGGCATATAGCTCACCTGGTATTAGTAAGTGTAAAATTATTAGAGATTACAAGGAAAATTTCATTTCATCCTTCCCTTAATTGATAGTGGCACTGATCATCTACTCAATAAATACCACCTAAGACAGTCTTCCAGGAAAAGCACACATCCAGTAGTAGATGCCTGATTACAATAGCACATTTCAGTTGAACTGGTCATTGAAGTACACTGCTTTTTGTCTCCTTTTTAGGTAAAGGACTTGTCTTCAGACACACTCCTCCAGCAGCATGATGACTTGGATTTGGCTTTGGATAGTTGTTATAGTGGAGATATAGTAGTCATTTTTCCAGGAGATTATCAAGCTGCAAATCTTGCTTTACTGACTGATGACATCATTATAAAGGGTTAGCAGGCTGTCCTTTGCAATTTTTTATAGTAATATATACTGGACATATTGTGTATTATAAGTTGTTTAATGCAATTATTACAAATCAGAAGAGTTTGCTTCACAAAAATTCCTATTTTGGGTTTTGCAGTTAATACTCATATTTTCTTTCTCCTCCTCCTCCTCTCTTCTACTTTTTTGAGATGTGGTCTCACTATTGCCAATGCTTTTGGCCCCAGGCGATCCTTGAACATCTCAAGTAACTGGGACTACAGGGTGCACCACCATGCCCAGCTGTTCATCATGTCTTCTATAGCTCCGTGTATGTTTAATTTTGCAGCTAAACTTTGCCAAGAGAAATTTGGCCACAAGTTAACTTTGGCCAAAAGAAAGGAATTGCTAAGTTAGATTCCTTAGATTCTACCCATAAATTTAAAAAATTGAGCAAATTTTTCACTAATTTGATGATTGCAATCAGTAGTGTCTTGTTGAACTAAATGGATAATAAGATCATGTATGTAATTAAAATGTGTAGCCTTCTTAATGTTAAAGTTAAATAATTGCTTTGACTATTTTAGAGCAAGATTATTGGTATATGTTAAACTAGGTTAATTTGAGTCTCTACCAGCTGTTTTAGTTATAGTAACTATGATTTTGAAACCAGGTTAAGGTATGGTATATTTTTTGTATCTCATTTTGTACATGGCTGCTGATGATAAGATTTAGGGAAATATTTAGTGGAATGAGAATATTGAATAAATACTGCAGGTACATTTGGCTGACTATAAACACAGACTTTTCCATTGTGGCATCAAATAAGAACCAAAGATTATATTGTAGTTAAATATCTACTTAGTTACCAACTGAATCATTTTATATCTGTATGAATATGTAACTTGCTAAAGTATATAAAAATATTACTGAATGACTAAAGAGCTTTAAAGATGGGATTATTGATTTGTTTTTGTCCCTATGCATCAGGAGTTGGAAAAAGAGAAGAAATTGTGATTACTTCTGAACCATCTCATGACAGTTTTGTGGTATCCAAAGCTGACAATGTGAAACTAATGCATCTGTCTTTGATACAACAAGGGACAGTTGATGGTATTGTGGTGGTAGAGTCTGGTCACATGACTCTAGAAAATTGTATATTAAAATGTGAAGGAACAGGAGTGTGTGTTCTTACCGGGGCTGCTTTGACAATTACAGACAGTGAAATAACTGGTGCCCAGGTATTTCATTCTATAAAAAGTATAGCTTCCTATAAGTAACAACTTTGAGTGATTGTAATATACAAAAAATAACAATTTATCACTCAGTAAAAATAGCATTCAACTTTGAAACTGCTTAGAAACCAATAGAATGCCAAGTAAACTGCCTCAGTGCAAAGTAGAGAATTGGCTTTAAGAGTGTGTGTGTGTGTTTTAATTTAAGACCTTTACTAACAGGTGCTTGCAGCTTGACTTTTTGGGAAAAAAAAAAGTTGTAAATTTTTATTACAAATTAAAAATGAAGTTCTTAAAAATCTCAACTTGACCAGTTATGAAACAATTTAGAAACCTTTTTAAGGTGTACTGAGAAAAAACAGGCTTGAAAAAATTGTCATTACCAAAAAAGAGACATCTTTAGGTAAAAATAAAAAAGATAAATAAAAACCCATGCTGCACAGATAATGTAAATAGTTCTAGTTATCTGGTCAATGAGCAAAAAGCAAGCACTTAAGGTCTTCAGTTCCAATCATTTCTTATTTCATATTCATTTCTTCTTGTTACATAACTAAACTGGATGATGGTAGTGATGGTAAACCGGCATTTATTTAGCCCTGCCCTGCTCTGCCTCTGGAGAAGATGAATTCTCAGTTGGTGGATGGATGCTTTTGTCTCTTTGCCATAAGCATGATATTTTAAAAAGATCAGAATTATGCCTATAATACAGATTGTGATTCAGTTACTGGATGGCTTATTTAAAAGAAATAGTACTTACAAGCTATCAGACATTGCTTGTCAGGTATTGTGACTAGTTCTGACAACTTTGAAATAACTGGAACATAACCAAATCTTTAGATAACTTCACAGATTTATTAAAAGGACTGGAGAAGCAAGTAGGAAAAGGATGAGCCAGGCACCAGTGGCTCATGCCTATAACCTTAGCTACTCAGAAGGCAGAGATCAGGAGGATCACAATTCATAGCCAGCCTGGGCAAACGGTTCACAAGACTCAAAAACACCCAAAAACACTCAAAAACACTCAAAAACACCCGAAACAAAAAAACGGTGGGTGGAGTGGCTCAAGTGGTAGTGCCTGCGTACAAACTCGAGACCCTGAGTTCCAACACCAGTACAGCACCCTAACCCCCAAAAAAGGGATGAAAGTAGGAGAAAAACAAGAACATATTTTAGAATGAATTTTTAAATTTCCACTAAAATGACACTGTGACATTATTGGAGGTTTACAGTAGGTAGAAATAAATTTATATAACTATTAAAACAATTGCTAAAAGACATTTCTATAGAATTCATCTGGGTGAGAATGAAGCAATGGACTACATGACGTCCTTCTAGGTGTATTCTCTAACACAGATAGTCTTCAGTATTTTAAAAACATCTCTACAATAAATTGTTACTGCATTATCATGTATTTACATGTAGCGTATTGTTTAGATCACCAATATAGACAATTTTTAGGCTGTGGATGTAGTTCACTGGTAGAGCACTTATTTAACATGCCCAAGGCCTTGGGTTTGATCCCTAGCACTGCAAGAAAAGTTTTTTCAAGTCAGAAAAGTTTGAGACCGGGCATGATGGCTCACACCTGTAATCCTAGCTATTAGGGAGGCAGAGACTGGAAGGATCATCATTCCAGGCCAGCCGAGGCAAAAAGTTCGGGAAACCCCATATCAACCAACAAAAAGCTGGGTGTGTTGGTACATGCGTCATCCTAGCTACTTAGAAGACATAAATAGGATGATAGAGGTCCAAGCCTGCCCCACCATAAAAGTGAGACCCTATTTGGAAAAATAACTAAAGCAGCTGGGAGCTGGTGGCTCATGCCTGTAATCCTAGCTACTCAGGAGTCAGAGAGCAAGAGGATCACGGTTCAAAGCCAGCCAGGGCAAATAGGTCAAGAGACCCACCCTATCTTGAAAAAAACCCATCACAAAAAAAAGGGCTGATGGAGTGGCTCAAGGTGTAGGACCTGAGTTCAAACTCCAGTACCAGTAACAGAAAAATAACTAAAGCAAAAAGAGTTGGGAGTGTGGCCCAAATGGTAAAGCACCTGCCTAACAAGGCCCTGAGTTCAAACCCTAGTACCACAAAAGAAAAAATATATGTATATATTGGGGAAGGGCTTGTTGTATATGTTTTGTAATTTTTGTAACTTTTAATTTACAGGGTGCTGGTGTTGAGCTGTATCCTGGAAGCACAGCCATTTTAGAAAGGAATGAAATTCATCATTGTAATAACCTCAGAACCAGTGACATTTCTAAAAGCACCTTGGGTGGAGTTAATATGAAGGTATTGTTTTAGTTCTGGCTTTTTTTTTTTTTTTTGTGGTACTGGGGTTTGAACTCATGGCCTTCACCTTGAGCCACTCAACCAGCCCTTTTTTGTGATACATTTTTTTGAGATAGGGTCTCATGAACTATTTGCCCAGGGCTGGCTTTAAACCTCAATCCCCCTGATCTCTGCCTCCTGAGTAGATAGGATTACAGATGTGAGCTACTGGTGCCCGGCACTTTTTTTAAAATTTTGGTTGGGGTGGGTGGTACTGGGGTGTGAACTCAGGGGTTCATACTAGCAAGGCAGACACACTGCCACTGATGCCATGCCTGCAGCCCTGGCAATTTATTTTTAAAGGCATGGTTGTTCTTCAGTGTTTTTATTGAACACCATGACCTTCTTTTATTTATTTTTTTGGTGGATTTGGGATTTGAACTCAGGGCTTCAGGCTTGCAAAATAGGCATTCTACTGCTTGAGTCCATTCTGGTTATTTTGGACATAGGGTCTTGTGAGCTATCTGCCTGGGCTGGCCTCGAACCTCGATCCTTGATCTTCCTGATCTCAGCCTCTCAAGAGGCTAGGATTATAGGCATAAACTACTGGTGCCCAGCCTGCCGTTAAGTATTTTTAAATTTTTCAATGGTTCTCAAATGTTGGCATGCATCAGGACCATTCTTGCAGAAGTAAGCCATTAGCAATTCAGTAGATCTGGAGTAAAGTCTGAGAACTTGTCCTAGTAAGTTCCCAGGTGATTCTGATACTGCTGGTCACACACACTTTAGAACCATAGTCCTGCATACAACTCCAGGTGTGAGACAGACCAGCAACATTGACATCCCCTGGTAGCTTGTTAGAACTGCAGAATCTTGACATGCATGGTGGCACCTGCTTGTAATCCTAATACTTTGAAGGCTGAGGATGGAAATTTCCAAGTTCAAGGCCAGTCTGGGGTAAACAGCAAGACTCTGTCTCAAAACCAACCCCAAAGGTTTGGAGATGTAGCTCAGTAGTGGTGTATACTTGCCTAGCATGTGCAAAACACTGCATAAGATCCCTAGCACTGAAACTGCCTGCTGGGTGTGATCCACCATCTTTTTTGTACTGAGTACTATTTCCCTGGGCTGGCTGCAAAGCACGATCCTCCTGATCTTTGCCTCCTGAGTAGCTAGAATTACAGTCATGAGCCACCAGCATACTCCACTCCCCGGGAACTTTTATAAGGGTTTATAATTCTCTTGCTTTCTCTGGCCTTATGTCCTTCCTCTCCTTTCCTTCTCCTATTCAAGCCACACTAGCTTTTGTTTTATATTGTTCTGGCCATTACTTTACCAAAACACTCTTTCAATTGTGTAAGTAGTAAGTGACTACCTCATTACTTGAACCATGGTTCTCCTGGGTCTCTGCCTCCTGAGTAACTGAGATTACAGACTTGAATCACTACATTTGTTAGAATAACTTATTTTTATCAGTTTGTGATAAAACTGGTAAACTGCATTTAATATTTTCTCATTTAATATGTGTAGTTAATATTATGTTAATCAACATGAGGAAAACATATTTGTTCAAAACTAGTCTGGTAGCCAGGTTCCAGTGGCTAATGCCTATAATCTTAGCAAGAAGCTCTGAGTTCAAACTCCACTCCCATCAAATAAAACTTTAATAAAAAAAAAAAACCTGTTAGGGAAAAAAAATAAAAATAAAACCTATTAGGGTGCCAGGCACTGGTGGTTCATGCCTATAACTCTTGCTACTCAGGAGGCAGAGATCAGGAGGATCATGGTTCAAAGCCAGCCCAGGCAAGACCCCATCTTGAAAAAAAAACCTTCATGAGAAAAGGGCTGTTGGAGTGGCTCAAGAGGTCAGAGTGCCTGCCTAGCAAGCATGAAGCCCCGAGTTCAAACTCTAGTGCAGCCAAAAAAACCCAAACATGTAAGGGGTTGGAGGTGTAACTCAAGTGGTAGAACGCCTGCCTTAGTAAGCATGAAGCACTGAGCTCAAACCCCAGTACCTCAAAAAAGAAAAAAAAAAAAAACCACAAGAGTAAGTTCTAGAGTAACTATATATTCATTAGTTCATATTTTCTTTGTGTCAAAATGACTAACAAACTGGTATCCTCAAATTTTAACAGGTTCTTCCAGCACCCAAACTGAAGATGAATAATAATCACATTTACAACAACAATGGCTATGGAGTAAGCATTCTGCAACCAACCCAGCAGTTTTTTATTGTAGCGGAAGAGGCTTTCAACAAAGGAGCTGCCTCAGGAGATAAAAAAGATGACAAGATGCTGTCCAAAGTGATGCAGAGCCTCAATCTGGAGATGAATAATAATAAGATAGAAGCAAACTTAAAGGGGGATATCAGAATAGTCACCAGCTAAGGCATCTGGATAAATGTTTATATTTCAGGAATTTCATTAATAATTCTCATGTCCCACAGAAATGGTGGTTTTCAATGTAAAGCTTATTAAAAATATTAAAACACGTAAGTGCTTTCAACTAATGATTCATTTTACAAAAATGATTCATTTTTACAGTACTGGGGTTTGAACTCAGGGCTTCCCATTTCCTGCCACTTGAGCCACACTTCCAGGACTTTGTTGGCTTTAGTCATTTTTTTGGATAGTGTGTCGAGTTTTTTTGGGGGGGGTGGCTCCCGAGGCTGGCCTTGAGCCTAATCCGTCTATGCCTGTGCCTCCAGAGAAGCTGAGATTAAAGGCACAGGCCACCACACAATTAGATGGTGTCCCTATTTTTTGCCTGGGCTGGCTTTGAACTGCAATCCTCCCAGTCCATCCTCTGAATAGCTGGGATCACAGTTGTGTATCACTATACCCAGCTCATTGTTTAATTCAAAAAACAATTCTTTTTTAGCAGAACTGGGGTTTGAACTCAGGACCTTGTGCTTGCTAGGCAGGTGCTCTACCAACTGAGTCACATTCCCAGCCCTAAAAAATTTTGAGACAAGTTCTTACTGTGTAGCCCAGGCTGGCCTTGAACTCATGGACCTCCTGCCTCAAGCTCCACAGTGCTGGGATTACAATAAACATGAGCATGCCCAATACAAACATGGCTTCAGACATTGTTTACAAATGCTACAATAAAAGGGCTGGCTGGCAGAGTGGCTCAAGTGGTAGAGCACCTGCCTAGCAACCACCAGGCACTAAGTTCAAGCCCCAGTACTGCCAAAACAAAACAAAATACTACAATAAAGTATTTGGAGTTCTAGGGTGGGGGTGGGGGACAGGGAGGAGCAATGACCCAAACAATGTATGCACATGTGAATAAATAATAAAAAAAAAGTATTTGGAGTTCCATATGTAAAACAGTAAAATTAAAGTTTAGTCAGTTCCCAGTGATCTTTGCCAGTAACCAGAATAAGGTAATATGGTACTACATTAAAATAATAATTAGATTTACTACTCAGGAGGGCAGGCATCAGGATTAAGGTTTGAGGCCACTGGTCAAAAAAGTGAGACCCCCATCTCAACAAGCTGGACACAGCCATGTGCACCTGTGATGCCACCTACTGGGAGGCAGAAGGGCTGCAGTCTAAGGCTGGGATTACAGAGGCGAGCCACTACACACCAGATTTGTAACCTAGCAAAGGTGACTGTAAACTGACAGAGAACCTGAGGGTTGTGGGTTTTGAACTTAGGGCTTCTTATTATAATTACGTGCTGTTCTGCTTTGAGCCACACCTCCAGAGCAAAAGTTTGGTTTTTTTTGGCAAAGGTACATTGATACTCTGGATCTGGTACTCTGGACTCAGAGATCAGGAAGATCGTGGTTAAATCTCAAAAATACCCAAACACAAAGCTGGTGAGTGGCTCAAGTGATAGAGCGCCTGCCTAGCAAGTTTGTGAAACCCTGAGTTGAAACCCCAGCACTGAAAAAGAAAGGTGGTGGTGGGGAATAAAGCACCACAAAAAGAAAAAGCAGCCTTCCCTGGTCAGATGGCATAGTCTTTTTTTTTTTTTTTGGGGGGGGGGCGACGAAGAAGGGGTACTGGAGTTTGGACTGAGTTTCTCACTTGCCAAGACAGGTGCTCTGCCACTGGTTCCATGCCTGCAGCCCTGGTAATTTAATTTTGAAGGTATGATTGTTCAAGTGTTCTATTAAACACCCCCCTCCTTTTATTTATTTTTTTTGTGGGGCTAAGGTTTAAACTCAGGACTTCATGCTTGCAAACCAGATGCTCTTATCGCTTGAGCCACTCTTCCAGTCCATTTTTATCTGGTTATTATGAAGACAGTGTCTTGCAAACTACTTTTCTGGGCTGGCCTTAAACAGCAACTCTGCAATTCAGCCTCCCAATCGGTTAGGATTACAGAAGGGATAAGTCACCTCACCTGGCTCCCCCATTTCTTTTTAAAAATGAACACCTCCAGGTGATTCCATTGTTTCGTTTATGTAAGGTCTTGTTTACACAAGATAATATGAGCTTGCTATGAACGGTAATTCCAAAAATCATCCACAGGAGTTTAACAGAATCTCTCTATGCTAATGAACAGTAAGAGACTTCCCTTTCCAGTCCTCCTCCTCAGTTTTTGGCTTTAGAAAGATGGGAGGGAATAAAGATGAGCAAAGACAGGATCTCTGAGGGTGATCAGAAGCAACAGCACACAATTATGATCAATCTTCTCACTGCTCATCTGCCTATTTTTACTATTGGTTTCCACCCAATTCCTCTTTTATCAAGCTGTCTTTAGTGTATTAGTACTTTTTCCTATTCTCTTATCTCTAAAGCATGTACATTTTTTTTTTTTGGCAGTATTGAGGTTTGAACTCAGGGCTTCACATTTGCCAGGCAGGTACTCTACCACTTGAGCCACTCCACCAGCCCTTTTTCGTGTTGGGTTTTTTGGAGATAGGATCTGGCAAACCAGAACCGACCGGCTTCAAACCTTGATCCTCCTGATCTGTCTCCTGAGTAGCTAGGATTACAGGTGTGAGCTGCCAGTGCCCAGCTATTTCTAAGTAGCTCTTATAGTTAAATTGCAAATGACTATTCAATTGTTTAAAGTTTAAAATGTTATGGTCTCTGCCTATATTATTGAGTAAACTGAGATTTTATGACAAGTACTGAGGATGAAAATGTTAGGATTCTAGAAGTGAAAGCCATCCAAGAATGCCCATGGAGTGGAATGAGGGGTGAATTTGAACCCTTTTACCTTTTCATAATGGGCTCACCGTGTAAGTGATCTCCTTCATTCTACTGCAATGCCAGTAGCAGCTAGGGTAGAACCTCACTTGGAGAGAAGATGGAAATCAGTGTTAGAACCTCTTGACAGTTTATGAAGCCAAGTGGCAGGTGGCTGGAGGCTGATTACAAAGCACAAGACACAGAATCTTAATCACAGGTGCCTTCCCCAAGTCTCCATTCTTGTGAGACATCCAAGCTAGCAGATGTATGCTCACTTTATAAATAGCTGTAAATTTGAAGAGATCTAATTCTGCCAAAATCCTAAAGTGAAAAAAATACATTACACTTTCATTAACTGGACAATATTGGATGCTGCTAAACTTAAGTTCCTACACAGGTTTTAAGAGTGAACTATCCCAGCACCCAGGAGCTTGAGGCAGGAGGATTGCATGCTCAAGACCAGCCTGGAAACACACAATGAGGACCTGTTCTCAAGTCTGTGAACTACTTGAAATTAAAAAGAGTGGTGGTGGTGGAATGGTTCAAGTGGTAGGAGTGCCTGCCTAGCAAGTGTAAGGCCGAGTTCAAACCCCAGTATTTCCAAATAAACATGGGGGAAAAACATGTAGCTGGGAACAGTCAGTGGTTCAAACCTGTAATCCTAGCTACTTGGGAGTTTGAGATTAGAGGAACATGGTTTGAAGCAAGCCCAGTTTGTGAGACACCCATTTGAGATGTGGCTCAAGCAGTGAGCACCTGCTTTCCAAGTGCAAAGCACTAAGTTCAAACCCCAGACTCATCCAAAAAAAAAAAAAGTGTACATCGTATTTGGTGGAGTGTCCATAGCTTTCACCATTCTCAAAGAAGTCTTTAGGGCTGGGGTATGGCTGAGTTCAACCCTAGTACTACCACCAAAGAGAAACCTCTCATCTTTCTAAACGCTTGAATTGAGCTAGACCTAAGTATCTATGCTTTGCTACAGAACCATTTAACCTACAAACTTTGTAATTGACACATTTTAATAGTTATGTCACTTTTTTGTAATTTGGTATTTTTCACATTAGTTTTGTGGCTACCAAAGATGAACATCTGATTTACCCCCCACCCCCAAAACTGAAGCCATTAGTGATGTCATCAGGATACCAAGCTAATTTGGAAATTCAATTACCAATGCCTTAAAACAGGTTAATCCTAATGTGCTTCCTATTAAGAAATTTTTGTTTTTTCCTTTTAGTGGTGCTGTGAGTTGAGGCCTCATGCTTGCTAGGCAAGCAGTTTTATCAACAGCCTGTCTTCAGATCTTGGGACAGACCCTCAACTTGTGATTCTCCTGCCTTACCGAGTGCTGGGATGAGAGATGTGTTACCACACCTGGTTATAGAACTATAAAATTTTTGATCATTTAAAAGTGACATACTAAAAACTTGTAAATGTGTCATTTTATATAGTTTTACAGTTGAGAAACATTAAACATTGGATTACAAAGCAAATTCCGTTAACCTTTAATTCTAGATTTGAAGGAAATGCAGTATTTCAACTTGAAAATTACTAGTTGTTAATCCTAGGCTGACCAACTCTTCCAAGTTTGCCCAGAACTTTCTCAGTTTTAACATTTCTGGTACCTCAGGAAATGTTTTCAGGGCTTTTTTTTATGTGTACGTGTGGTACTGGGATTGATCTTAGGGCCTTGCACTTTGCTAAGCAGGTACTCTTATCACTTGAGCCATGCCACCAGCCCTTTTTTTTTAAACTTCACTTTTCAGATTTTTTGGGACCACCATCCTCTGCATAGCTGGTATCACTGAAGAGTACCACCATACCCTGCTTGTTGGCTAAGATGGGACAAACATTTTGGCCTGGGCTTGCAAACAGTGATCCTTCTCATCTCCACTCCTTGGGTAGCTCAGATTTCAGGTATGAGCCACCTCAAGCCACCTCGCTAGCTAGTCAAGGTTCTTTAAAAAACCTAAATTACAGCTCAAATAGTTTGGTAGACTCAGGTGAACTTAACTTTAGCTCAATAGTAAAGTTACCTACATGACCCACAAATACCAAAGGCACACATATACAACTATTTTCCTATCTTCTGGACAGTAATTCACACCTTAATTTTTCAGGCTAAACCTGTGGAATTCAGGAAACTTCCAGTCAAGGTCAAAATTTGCTTGCTCCAGTCCAATTAGAAATTCTGTTTATGGTTTCTACTATTCTCCTGTTCAAATTTGGCTTCCAGGCTCAGGAGGTAAATTGGCATTCAAGTGTATGCCTACAGCTGCTAATTTTCATTGGGCTGACCTGAAGGTGACACACCTATGTGGTGATCAGTCTTCATGGCACAATGTTCAGCAGGTTCTGAGGACTGCTTCATTGTAGGAATCTCATCAGTTTTAGTTATGCTCACACATTTTCTTGACACAGCTTTTGGAGCCTGGCTTCCTGTAA